CCTCTCTCTGAGCTGTGTCAACAAAAAAGAATGAAAAGGCTATTTCACAGCTCATCTAGAAAAGAATAGAAATTCGGGAGACGTCCTGAATTTCTCTTTATTTAGCTCTTAGATGTCCTTCTTTGTTGTCTGTCCTTGGCACGTCAATGTCCACGTGTTTGTGTTTGTGTTTGCCTTTTGTTTCATTGTCTAAATGTTCTGTGTTTGTTGCATGTTCAAAAGAAAAGATCGTTAAAACTGCTTGATACAACCTTTGGTCTAGTTTAACTTTGCTTTAAAGACAGTCTTAACGTGCACAGATAGGTTGCCTGTAGCTAAGAGTTGAGCTGAGCTGAAAAAGCCTTTCCAGGAATTGAGGTTGGCATAAGCTTCTTTTAAAAGAGACCAGTAGCTTTTTGGGTTTTATAAGGAAGCTAAGAGTTGTATTGTCCTAGAAAAATCTCTGTGACAAGGTGCTTTTCTCTTGAAATTACAGCTAGAAAAGGCAACAAATTTTGTTTCGTCTAAATATATAAGATGCATAGCCACTTCATTGTTGTTTCTGATTGGTTTTAAAAGTATAAAAATGTTCTACATGTCTTGGTTATAGACTATTGGCTTAAATTATTGGATGTGATTAGAAAGTCACAACTTTGGTAACAGAAAGTTGGCGTAAAACTAACTCAGGGTTAGTCATTCAGAAACCTGATGTATAAAAAATAAGATTTTGAAACAGTATCTCTTCAATGAGATAATAAAAACTGCTTCATGCATTCTTATATAAGAATTGACAGCAAAACTTTGTAACATAAAGGTAATCTACTTGGTGTTGATTTTAGAAAAAATAGATTGTTTACATTGCTTCTAGTTTTGCTTCTCAAAATTATGGTTATACTCTAATGTTACAAAAGAAATTTAAAATTTTAGTTAAACTGCCAGTATTCCATTGGCTACAGTTGACAGTTCTAATCTTGAGTTTGGGATTTTTTGATTCGCCCATGTTTATAGAAAAGGAGACAGCAGGTAGAGTTAAATAAATATATTTAAAACAAGTTGTGATACAGTGCTGGCCTGCTAGAGATTAAGAACATTTACATTTAAATTAAGACAATACAGACTGAGATCTTAACATGGAGAATAGGAGAAGGTCAGTGTGATGCTAATCAGGTTGAACTGCCTACACAGCTCTCAGACCATACAAGCAAAGACAGACTTAGATACATTCATCTTTGCGATGAAATTACACCCTCATACAATCAGGGTCTGGCCGTAGCTTACACAGAACCGTAAAGATGAAAGATGTTTTAAATGTGGAAATTTAGATAGTTTTTAAAATGACTGTCCCAGGAACAAAGGCTTGAACAACAGTCAGGTGACCAAGGTTACTTGACTGAAACTTGTCCTTGGTGCAGGAAGGATAATCCTTGGGCCAGGCCTCAGGATATAGGCCAAGATTAAAAACATTTACATTTGAATCAAGACTTTGTACAGAGTGGGTGCAGCAGAAACTTGTATTTCAGACATTCCTTTTGTCCTGACCTGCCCCTAGAAGGGTGTTTTCTAGAATTTGTTTTTTGCCTTGTTTGTTCCTTAGGGAGTTGTCAGCCTCAGACTCAAAAGAAATTCAAAACAGCTTATGGGCCAGGAGTTAGAGATAATGATTCTTTTTACCCTCAATTTTTTAAATCTGAACAGTCAGGGCCATTCGGCTGCTGACCATCACTGTTTAGAGCCTGACAGGCCAAAAGAAATAGTCAAATAGAAAGATGTCTTGACCGGACAATGGAAAGGCCCGGATCCTATTTTAATAAAAGCCAGGGGAGCGGTTTGTGTTTTTCCGCAGGAAGAAGACAATCCATTTTGGCTACCAGAGCGACTGACGCAACGACTCGTGGCATCTGAAGATGACCCCCCAAAAGACTCATATGAAGATCCTTACTTGGATCCTCCAGCTTTGGGAAATTGGTCAGAAGGATTTGAGGAGACGCTCGAGATGCTGAGAACAGCAGTGGTAGCTATCAACTTGACACGAGTGGATCTATCACTGACTGAAGGACTCTCCTCCTGGATTTCTTCGGCCTTTTCCTCCTTTAAAGAGTGGGTGGGGGTAGGCCTGTTTGGTACAGCCCTATGTTGTGGATTAGTGTTCATGCTTTGGTTGGTTTGGAAACTCAGAGCTCAACAAAATCGTGACAAGGTTATTATTGCCCAGGCGCTTGTGGCCATAGAACTAGGGGCTTCCCCTGCAGTGTGGCTATTGCTTCGAAAATAAGTAGTCTCCCCCTCACTAGTGGTGGTGCTAAATGTTGGGCCGACAGCCGTTGCACCCCTAGGAGCTGAGCTCCATTGCACAGGGAGAGGTGTCATTGCCCGTTACCTTACACCATCACTGTTTATTGAGAGACTCAGGCCAGCTGTCATTGGTCCCAACGACGGGAAATAGGCTGACGCCACATGCCAGATATACACCATGAGGACAACTGGGGAACTGATGGCAAACCAACCCCATGACGGGATTAGCGAGTGGCAATGACCCGGGCGCGGGTATATCCCTAGTAGCCTAAGACAGGGTGGCTCGCCTTTCCTCGGTGTTAGCCCTATTGGTGCTGGGCGTGGAGAAACGTCAGTTAGCCTAAGACACGGGACATTGACCAGTGCCTGTTTAACAAAACAAAAGGAAATAGCCAGTAGACAGATTCCTCAGCCGTTGCACCCCAAGGACTTTTGGTGAAGACACCCTATAAAGCCTCAAACATATCTGTACACAGTCCCTGCCCACTAAGGTGTTCGCTCCATGGATAGTAGGTCTGGTAAGTCAATGACGGAGCGGACAGATAAGCCTCGGCCACCTAAGACAGGGCAGCCCCGGGTGGGGAGGCTGACCCAGTGACGGGTAAGAGTTTGAGCACCGCCCTCCAAAGAGACTCAGACCACTGTGAGACCCCCAAATATGGGAGCTACAAAACCTTCCCAGGGATCTCAACTACCACCCTCTGTAATAAAATAAAAAAGGGGGAGGTGTAGGAAGCCGTGGCTTGTGCTGACAGAATTCACCATTATAAGATGGCGCTGGCATCTGGTGCTCCTCCAAGTAAACAAGTAAACTGCGCATGTGCTATGGTAAAAGCACACCAAAGTCAAAGCCCATCCCGGGACGTTTTGGCGGGCAACGAGTAAGCAGCCAATCAGAAATGAACACGCCACTCCAAGGGTATATAAGCAGTGCCTTTTCCAGGCCCGGGGTCTTCCTCTTTACATTGGAATAAACGTTTGCTGCGGAAGGATCCTGGTGTGTTGCCGTGTCTTCCTTGCTGGCGAGGTGGGCGCGCGTCACACCTGTCTTAATGTGCAAGTTGTAAATCTTCGGGGGGGTGCATATCAGATATCGTGCATATCAGATATTTACATTATGATTCATAACAATATGAAAATTAAAGTTATAAAGTAGCAATGACATAATTTTATTCATGAGGGTCAGTACAACATGAGGGACTGTATTAAAGGGTTGCAGTATTAGAGAGGTTGAGAACCACTGGTCTAAAGACATAAAGACCCATGTGGTGAATTGGGAAAGGAATCTGTCTCAGAATAATTAGGAGTATACTGGATATGAATGGGCAAAGCTGCTCTTATCTGAAGAGAAATAGAGGAGCAATGGATCTGGGGAAAAGGGGAGGTGGGGGAGGGAATGGTAGGAATGGAGAGAGAAAAGGTTGCATTTGGTAGGTATTGTATGAGAGAATAATAGATAGATAGATAGATAGATAGATAGATAGATAGATAGATAGACACACAACACACACACACTCACACAGCAAGCTGGCAGAGGCTAGAAAATGAGCAAAAGAGTAGTTAGCACTTCGGAAGTAATTTTATATCCATGAGAAATAACTACAGGAAAGATTGTAGAAGCAGGGACTAAAAACAACTAGTAGATGAGTAAGGACATGGATATAGAGGCTGAACCAATATAATCTGACTGCAACTAAGATTTAAATGAAAAAAAAAGTATGAAGTAGAATGTGACCCCATAGTGTTGAATTTAAAGGAACCTAGGTATGACAAGGGCACTGAACCCAGAAGACACTGTCAATGCTGCAAGAAGTACTAGCCAAACTGATCAGCAACTTAAAGCTACAAACATAACTGTTCAGTGAAAGAGAGAAAAAGTTATTAACAAAATAATCGCAAAGAATGTTTCTAGTTTTGCTATTATTATCATCATTATTAATTAAGACAGAACAATGGAGGAGGAAACTCATTGAGAAATATTAATAATGCAAGATGGAGTAGGGCGTGTTTGATAAAGGAAGGGATGCTGCAAATGTTATTGAATTCTTTATATAAAATGTATGTTGATATATAAGATTAATATGTTAAATTAATAAATCATGTTTTGGGATATCTAAAAGAGATCTAGTCAAGCTAAGCAATGTGAGATTACCCAATGTTTTATTTATCTCTTTTCCAGATTTAAAAGTGTTGAATAATCCAAATAATATACTTATTATTTTAGAAATACTTTAGAGTGAACAAAAAGAAACATAAAAAATACACTACAAAATGTAAGTTATATGATTTTGCTAAGGGATAGGGTTAGGGTTAGAGTTTAATTCCTTGGTTTCAATTACCATATTGTTGTTTTAAACTGTACCTTCCTAACTATATTTCATATACTCAACAGACCTTGTAGACTTAGGCTCACTTTTCTTTAAACCAGCAAGCGCACAAACTAGTTAATTGAAAAATTGATTTGTTATGCTACAAACTACAAAATACAAGAGAACAAAGAGAAGTAAATCTGCCTAATTTTAGGCACTATGATTAGGATAGACATTCTAGCAAATAAATAAATAAGCAAAAAATCTCGAATATTCATGGAAATACTATTGTTGTCTCAACAAGGTTTAAGTCTGTTGTTTATATGACATAAAAACTCCCCATAAACATTCATATTTAAAATGCAGCATTATTCTGAACACACATAGTTTATAACGATGAGATTAGAGGTCTTAACTCACCATCATTTTCTCAAAGAGATCCAGAACTTCCTTTTCAGACAAAATCAGAGATCGGTCATCATATAATGTCTGAACTACTGGAACCTCACCCATTGCGGCTTGAGAATCAATAGGATGCTGAATAAGAGGTTTTTCTCTTTTGATGGCAGATTTTCTGAAACTTGTAATTCGGTCACGCTACAAACAGAGAAAGAGAAAAAAAAGCCCTAAGAAAAGGATCAGGAGTCATGAACAAAAAGAATAGAAACATAAAAATGGCACTTAGTATAATATATATTATTATTGTCTCTTGACAATATATTATTGTAAGCAGCAAGCACCAGTTAGAGATTGGACTCTTTTGCAACCTTAAAGTAGTTCTTGAGCTTCAGAAGGCTAGGGGTGAGAAAACATTCCTCAAAAGTAAAACTTAGTCACTTGTCATTTCTTTTGTTGCACAGGATGTGAAGAGACACTTTGGATCAAAATCTTGTAGTGGTTGTTTTGGGGAGAATGAGGCTTTGGTACCAACTTCAGTGCTCTGGAAAAGGAGACTGGAAACGGAGCTACTAGTAGCATATTCAAAGGGAAATTTAGGGTAATGTTTTTCTTCTGCATACTGTAAAAACTGTGACAAGTATATATGAATAACTGTCATTTTAGCAGTTGACAAAAACGGAATACCATGGAATCTGAAGACAGACACAGTGAGTTTAAATCCAAACTGAAAAAAAAATCACCAGCTCAGAATCAGTCAGGAGGATACCTTGGGTCTCTCACTGTTTCTTCTTCTTATACTATAGATCTTGTGAGAGCCAAATACACTTGGTGGGTGTTGATTCTAGTAATTACTGTTATCACCATATTTCTCGATTTTTTTCTTTCCCAAATAATTGGCACCAGTAGGAAGCTAAAGCACTCATTCCATTTGTTGAAGATAGAAACAGAAATATTTTATTCCTCCTTTAAACACTATCTGATGAACTCACTACTTTATAGGTATTTCCTTTAAACTATTAATACCATGTACAATCTCTAACAATTAGCTTGCTCTTTCATATCAAGTGAGTCAAGAACTTTAGCTGCTTATCAACAGGTCATCTTACTTAAAAACCACCAAATAGTTGACATAAAACATTAGTAATAGTCATAAAACTGAAGACAACTCAGTTTTATTCAAGTGTCTGTTAGGAAGCACATGCAATGTCATCAAGTCACAATAAGCAAAAGACATGTTAGCTATGAGGACAGTGAATGTACACTGCCATATTACCTTTTAAATAACCTTATGAATATAAAAGCATTCCAGACATTATTACAGTTTATGTTTGTAACCCCCTAAGAGAACACAGTCTTTATTTTATTGGTTGAAATAATGGTTTTTTTTTTAACGTGTACTTTGAAGAAAGCAGTTTTAAGCAGCTTACTTGGGATTACAAAAATTATTTGAGTACATGGTTGCTTACACAAAGATTATAAAAACCACAATATTTTAGAGCTGGGAAGAAAAATGAAATGGCATCCAAACCAACTCCCTCAATTCACAGAACAGGTGACTCCCTTAAACACATGAGTCCCTGGTTCTAATCTCAGCATTCACCTTACAATTATTTCTTTAAAATTTATTTGAACTGTATTATTAAATGTTGTTTTAACTCTTTGAGGAAAGTTAAGTTGGTTTAGATAAGTAATCTCTTCACACAACTCAAGAAAAACAATTTTAGTAATCCCAAATAAACTGAGACAAATTTTACTTAAAGATATGGTGGACATGAAAGCATTTAAATATGCAGTTGATGATTAAATTAACATATCTTTTCTCTATTCACTTTATACCACTTAAAAGTACTAATACAATGAAAGCATTTATACTGAATATCAGCATTAATAACATACAGACTTGAGCTTTCTACATCTTTCATTTTAATGCAAAAAATGGCCTTTTATTTCAGCTATATTTTGGTAAGAAAATGAAGTTAAGTTACATACCTTCATTTCCTTAGAACAGTAATATGATTTTACATTTTTTGGTAGAGAGGTAGTTCATATAATAAAAAAACCTGAAACTGTTTTAAAATATCATTCAGGAAAGTTTAGGTATAAAGAGTACATTTAAATTTTAGCTTGTAGCTTCTAATAAGAATTACTATGGTAGTCTGAGCTTGAAAATATGTAAGCTTTCTAATTCAATAGTACATATTTTATTTGCAAAAAAATTCGTCTAATATCAGAATGTAATCTAATCACAGTAAATTTAGCTATCAATAGAGAAAACAGCCATGTTTTTCTAATGTCTACATGTATGCGCCAAATTTTAAAATATTGTGTTATATGTCACAATGATAAATTAAGAAACATAGGTGGAAACTAACCCAACTATTTGAGTAAGTTTGGGACAGTTGTCCCTTTTTATTGAGGTGGGATAGGGTACTACATAGCCCTAGCTAACCTAGAATTCTCTACATACACCAGGTTGACCTCCAACTTGAAGCAGTCCTCCTTCTTCAGTCTCTGGAGTATTAGAATTACAGGGCTGCACCACTGTGCCTGGCTACAATTGTTTATGTTAATATGTGAAAAGGAAGTTGCTGTATTGGCAATGATCTTATTCTGCTCCATTTTCTAAACATACATTCACTGTATATGTTGCATATATCAATGCTTTAATGTCCACATTTTCATAAAAATGTAACATGCATAAGCAATGCAATAGCATGCTGCTCACACCACCTTACCACATCATCAGCCAAAGTTTTTATTTGAATGTTCTATTAAAACCAAAAGGAAACAAACAAAAGAAAATACCAGTCAGGTGACAGAAATTCATAAGTCAAACAAGACAACAATAATTAAAGGAATTCAATATTTCTCATCTATTATCAAATGTAAACTGTCAAAAATAAAATTCAACATACAAATAATACATCCATTACAAAATGAAAAAACTATAGTAGAAATTACAAATGAAGGTTTGGCTTGGGGGAGGGTTATCTATTTGATTTTAAATATGGACACTAAGATCCAACTTTCTCATCTATATCAGATAGTATCACAACAGCATTTAAGTACTACAAAGCAGTAAGTAAAATTGTGTACTCTTGCAGTCTTTGAAAGGTTTTGTAATGAATGCCTTAAAGATTATGAAATTAAAACACAGTAACTATTTCACATATAGCAAACATTACTCAATGAGTTAAATGTCAAAATGTAACAAAACTAACAATTCAATAAACTTCAGGGTTCAGAAGATAATTCAAAATCGTACAATAGCATGCAATCAGGATAAAGTCAAGATTTCACTATATAAGTATAGTCACACATCTCTTCATGATGATGTTATGTTTCTAGAGATGCATAATAAATGGCATCATTAAATAAATATCACAGAGTACACACAAGCAAACTAGGATGACACAGAAAATATACTCTTGGAGGATGACCATCACATGTGCAGTCTCTTCAGACTTGTTTCACATTCCGTTTCTTGCAGAAGATGCTGAATAAAGTGTATCTAACATAGTCATAGGTATTGGCATGAATTTTTACTAAGTACAATACACATCTTTTACTAGAGAGGATTGCATTGTGAGTTTTCAGTAAGTCAAAACTGCTTGGTCTCGCAATCTCAGAAAATTGCCTTCAACTACTACTATCCACTCTGTGCTATTAAAAATCATCCTGATCTAGAACAACCATGGCAAATGAACTAGTACATGTATGTATCTTTTTGTATTTTTAATGCTTCAATTCCCTCAGGAATCTAAACTTCTTCTCCTGTACCAAATCATCATAAAACTCAATAAATCTTTATTGCCTTGGGGAAAACAAAAGGAACCTGGAAGGTGGCTTAGTAGGGAAACTGCTCATTGAATAAACATGAAAACCTAGGTTTGAAACTCTACAAGCCACCTTAAGCCAGGTGCGGTACTGTGCATCTACAATCCCACTGCTCCAACAATATGAGAGGCTGTGACAAGAGAACCCATAAAAGCCAGTGGGTTAACTATACATGCAGAAAGGAACAACAAAGAGGCCTTGGCTCAAACAAAATAAGGAGGTGAGGACCAAGAAACACCCAAAGTTGTTGTCTGACCTCCACTTACCCACAAACATGCTCTGGCATGCAAGTGCATGCAACACAGACACACACACACACACAAACACACACACACATGAACACATGCATGTACCCACAAATGTATACATCACACAATAGCACATATTAAAAAGGTATAATTTAAATCAAAACTAAAGCAATCTTTATAACAATCAATTCACTATAGAACTTTCTCCTCCAACCCTTTCCTTTTGAGTATTCTGGTGTGTTTAAGAAAAAAGCAAAGAAGGAAGGAAGGGAGAGAGGGAGGGAGGGAGAGAGGGAGGGAGGGAGGGAGGGAGGGAGGGAGGGAGGGAGGGAGGAAAAGAGAAGAGAGAAGAGAAAAGAAAAGTTTCATGCACAATGATAGATTTCTTGTAAAGCACAATTACAGACCTGAAGTGACCCTGCTGACATCTGACATGAGCCTATCCAGTGGGGTTTTTACATAGATTACATAAGTCTCTAAGCAACTTCTGCTTCCCTTTCCTACCATTCCTTTGGTGTTATACAATTATGATTGGAAACATCTACACTTCCAAATCAAGAATACAAATTAGAAGAGAAAAATATTTGCATTAGTCAAATTCCTATGTTAAGACACATGTATATCAGAAATATTTCAGTATTGTATCTCAATTGAGCACATGTTGACAATTTAATCAGTGAAAGAAAGCACAAGAAAGATAGAAATGCTAGCTATCATTTCACTTGGTTTTATAGGAAGAGTCTGGAATCTTCTCACATTTCTCTACCTTGAATCAGCATTTGTTTTGTTCACAATAGGTCACATAATATGGACAATTAGAGTTGGGTAAAATTTAGATAATCTAAGCAAAACATCTCTTTTACAAATGAGAATATACCATTTATGTTAATGACACCCCTACATTCCATTTTCTATGCTAAGACTTCTACATTAAGTCAATCTTCATTTCCAATAGTCTAGCAACTGACTGTTAAGTAACACACACACACACACACACACACACACACACAGAGAGAGAGAGAGAGAGAGAGAGAGAGAGAGAGAGAGAGTCAAGTACACACTCACCAAACCTAATGCTCTTACCTAGATTTCCTTACTAACCTCCTATGTTGT